GACTCGATCCTGCGTGCTTACATAGCAGTGTGCGTATATAGGTATGGGTAAATTGGAAGAAAATATATCCTAGCCGAGGGTTTACCGTTACACACTGATGATGCGCCTCGTTGCAAAGTCACTAACCACGCGGATCGCGTTTGCTTTTCCATCATTTTCATTTTCTAATTATATAGATATCGAATTCGCAACGAAAAATGGGAATAGGATAAAATGGCATAAAAGAAATAAAAGCACGATTGTTATAACATGATAATCCAGTCTTTCTTCTCCGCGTGTGTGTATGCATTTTCAGCGCCCCGTGCATATATACGATATATATATGTCGAGGAGCACGGAGCAGCAGCAAGCTCAGCATTATTAAGATCTCTCATTCTTTATACTGCTGAGAGACTCATATCCATGGCGATCTCCTCTAGGCGCGCGCGCATATACATACATACATACATACATACATACATACACAGGAACAAGCTTTTGCTAACGAGGCCAATTTTTCACCGCCAACACGCGCAATTTACCTCGCGCTCGTGCACAACTTCCTGTGTCTATGTGTGTGTGTGTGTGTCTCTCTCTCATTCTTTCTTTCTTTCTCTACGTGAGTGCGATGTTTGTGCGTCGGCCCGCGTGCTATATCCGTAACGTATGATCGTTCTTTCTCGCTTTTTCTTATCTACCACTCTGCATCCACGGGGGGAGAAAAAAAATTTCGCGTGACCTCGATGAGAAAGAAGCGAGTTAGCGAGAGAAAAAAATTCCCTCCAATTTCAATGACAAGAAGAACAGCAGCAGCACCAGCAACGGTGGCTACCGACACGAAAGATCTTCCTTCCTTATCAAACTTATATACGAGCCCGCGTACCGCGTGGTAAAAATGCCCTTGCGTGTGCGTGCGAGCTGTCCATTTCGCGTACGCGAGTGATTGGGATCATCGTTATATATATGTGTGGATGCTGCTCATAGCTGCACCCGAGAGAAAGAGGTAGCCGAGAGATGAGAAATCGCCTTTTTATCCGGCAGCAGCCGTCATTCCCGTATAGCCACGCGCACGCGGAGCTTTTGTTGTATATCTCTTTATACGACGCGCGTACAATGAAGCTACACGTGCTCTATTGAGTTCTCTGTCTCTCAAGCGATCGGAAGGCAAGATTAAGGACGATTAGTTCGTCGCGAGCTGGCGCAATGAATTGACTCGAGACATACGTCGAGCAACAGGCAGCCCCGTGCGGGGATGTGCACCTATGATCGTAACGAATGCGCACCGTTGGACTGTGCACTTTTTTTTCTAATACGCGATGGATAGCTGGGGAAATGACGATGATAATGATGATTAACGTGCCAAAGCTGAACAAAGGGAAAACCGATCGAGAGAGAAAGAGCACGTGGTAATGCGCGCCCCGCATAATGTGCAATGTCCGAGAAGAATATTTCAATGCATAAAGACTATGATGCAAAGAGGAAGATTAATAAATCGTTGAAAAAGGGAGAAGACTTCTATAGTGCACTTCGATCACGAAGTTGAGTCCTATATGCTATACGCGCATGCGGCCTCTACATTACATCACACCGACGGAATTGCCAACGTTGCCGAGCTTGCAGCGTGTTCAATCAAACATATTTTTCCTCGTAATCGATCACGTAAAAGAGAAAAAAGAAGAAGCGCATTTTAGAAAACACAAAAAAATATCTGGGATGAATTTACTGTTGGCAGGCAAAACTGCCTGCAGGCACTAAGCGGAGGAATAAAAAAAAACGAGATTTATCTCGAGCCTCGAAAAGAGATTAATAACCTCGCGTACGTAGAGGAGAGGCTCTCGTATATATACGTATGTGTAGGGATTATTTGCCCGAACATCGATTCGCGCACGTGAAGTCTAGGGCAAGGAAAAATCGTACGAGGTTAATGACGAAATCTGTATCAAAAAAATGAATTTTTATTTCGAAGCGGATTATATAAAAAAAAAGAATAAACCGCTCGAAATCTTTTTGCTGTGTTGCTGTTGCTGGTGCTGCTACACTACTCAGCTACTCGTGTTCCGAATTTTTTCTGCACTCGTGTTCACGCGTGAGCGGAGGAGCTTGGCCGCCACCACTACATGGAGTAAAGAGAGAGAGAGAGAGCCTTATGCAACGTTACAGGCTCATGCGAGGGCTTCGTGTGTGTGCGCCAGAGTCGGGTCATAAATCATAGACTGGTTTTTCAGTTATGTAGGTGGTACACAAACTACTGTATTTTTCATGTCTTCTTACGTGTATAAGACACTTTTCATTGTAAATGGAGAGCCGCGCGTGGCTGAGCTTTTTTCCCTTTTTTTCTTCTCTTTTTTTTATTTTGCTACTTTTAACATCGCCCATATAAAAGCAAAGCGATGTTAGATCGATGTTAAGCATAATGGAAAAACGGATACACGAATAATAATTTGATTTTTCAAAGCGCCTAGGCATAATAAATCGAGCTTCGAGATAGCGCAACCTCGTTTAAATTAGATTCTCTTTCCTGCTTACGTGTATAACTCCGATGTTTTCCGCAATTTGCAGCGACAGCAGCAACAGTCATTGAACAAATCAAGGATGTGCCAATTGTTTATAATTCGATTAGAAAAAATTATCAAAATCCGTTTCAGGTTTTATTCGCAATCCATTATACGGCACCAAGCTACCGAGAGGTAAATTAAATTGAATCTCGGTTAAGCTCGTAAAAACGCCTTGGCAGTTTTTTTACTTTTATGTTTTGTATCGCGCGCGCGGCTATACGTTATTCCGTGTTTTATTGAGTTCAAATATCATCGGAGTTCGCGTATATTGTACGTAGGTATACGCCTTCGAGTATAAATCCTCGAGTAGTACAAGAGAGCGACTTGCGCGCTCGAGCCTTCAATTTCTCAGCAGCAACGATCGAGAATGTCGCGCGCGGGCACGCGTAAAGAAAAAAACTAAAAGAAGAAGAAAGATAAAAAACAAACAGACTCCATCCTATATACGCATTTATTTATACATACCACTCGGCGCGCGTACACTGGCCTATCAAACGCCGTTGACTCGTATCCTCATTCCTTTTATCTTTCACAGTTAACCAAGCGCGCGTATACGTATACGTGCGGCTGCTTGTGCTACGTTCTCTCTCTCTCTCTCTCTCTCTCTCTCTCTCTCTCTCCAAAAAAACGAAGTAGAGCATATAATAAAAGAAAAGTACTGCGCAAAAATAATGGTTCGTCGCGCTCGCACATTGTCACTTGAAGGAGAGGAGAAAAAAAACAACACGAAAGAGCCAATAAGGACAATGCGTCCTGGCATTGTTCAAATTCGCGAGTGCGCAAAAAACCATGTGCGGCTGTTGCCACTCTCTCTCTCTCTCTCTCTTTGCAGCGATGCTTTTTTGTCTCTCGTGCTGCTTGTGCGTGCAGCATTCGGAGAGAGACCGAGAGCAAGAAACGTGCCTATAGATAGATCGTACGTACACACGTATAAGCGTACGTCTCTTAATCAAGAGAAAAGTGCGGCCGAGTATAGTGGCTTGTGTGCGTGTTTACTTTTTTTTGAATTTTTTCATTTTTTTTTGTCATACAGTTCCCGCGTCGGGATGATGATTATGGGAGGGAAAAAGGCGAATACCGAACTTATACGCGCGGTGTGCTCGCGAGCGTCTTTTTACGGCCAGCTCGCAGCTTATATATAACGCACGTCCATTGGGAGATATCTCGTTGAGCGGCAGGTCTCTTTGACAGAATTCGTATATATCCTCGCTACACGTATTTGTCTTTTCTTGAAAATTAAAATACTCGTCAAGACGACCCCGACGACGACGTAGCTGGGAGCTTTTCCATTATGCATACATTATTAACTGCGCCGAACACGCGTGCATTATAATTTGTCGAAGCTTGATTAATCGGCCTCGGCGGTCGAGAGAGGGAGAGAGAGAGAGAAAGATCTTGGCAGTGTCACAGCTGACACGATGTGTACTCGGATTCAACCCAGAAGCTACATGTACTGTATGTTTTACAGCCAGACAGGCAGCAAGAAGTTGCCCGGCAGCAGTCGTGCGCGGCTCTGCGCCGTTGTCTCGTGCTAGCCTTGAAAAAAACTTCAATTAATTTTCACTTATGCTGTACGCCCCATTTGCCTTAGTGAAATATTAATCGATATAACGAAGAGCCTGGCACGCAGCTAATAATGTATATGCACACACACAAGTCTCGCAAGCGGCAATGGTTGGCGTCGGCAGTAGTGTGCGCAACTTTAGCCTATGGGGTGCTTAAGTATCGTCACGCGCTTTTTGCCTATATATATTCCGCACCCTCTCCCCCCTTAGTCCAAGGTCTATACGTAGTATTTCTCTAGCGGCGCTGTGCCTCGTGGCCAGCTCATCTCTTAGTCAAGAGGCCCCTGCGCACACCACCGCTGCTCTCTCTCTCTCTCTCTCTCGCGCGCGCTAACCCAAACCTCAAACTTCGGATGCGTAAGCGCGACTACATATAGGTATATCTACTGTATATATAAAAAGGGATGTGTAGTATATACCTACGCCTCGGCTTTTGGACTACGCGCGCGCACGCGTATATACACGCACACACACGTGAGCAGAGATTATGCTGAAATGCATAAATTATCAAAGGACTGGTCTTTATGCTCGAGACTACCCCTTGAGAGAGATTTTAGTCTCGTAAATATGCCATGCTCACGGTATACGTGTAGTATAGCATTGCCTTGTGTATATCTGCGCGCGTGTGCTCTCATCAATGTTTTTCATTTGCTCAATGAAAAGAGCGGAAAATTCGCATTTATTTTTTGACGTAGGTGTGCAAAATTAATGTTTGTTTTCGTTGAGGGGAGATAAAGAAAAGCTCTAACGATCTCTTTTCAAGCGTAATTCGCAAGCGCAAGGATAAAGAACGTATTCTGCCGCGAGCTTGTCAAACAATGTCAAATACAAAAAAAAGAAAAGTTTTAATCAAAGCACAATTTTCTTGAAAAATAATTGAAATTTTCCTGTTTCATTTCAGCCTACTGTCAGCCGGAGCCCGACCTGAACGCGGCTTGCGCTGGAGTCGGCGCCGACGACATTCTCTACTCGATGTTCCGGCTCGACGGCCGACCCATAGACTGCCCTTTTGCAGGTCCGCCCTTCAGCTTCAGCTACAACCGCGGCCACGGCGAGTGCAAAGCTTTGGAGAATCAAGCCGAGAGCTGCACCGACGGCAGCAAGCTCCTTTTAAAGTATCAAGCTTGCGCGGACATCAAGGGCGCTGAGAGTAGCAGTGAGTATTTCTCTTTTTGAATTAATTCAGATAACGACGCGCAGCCGAACGTATCTTTTCTCTCTCTCTCTCTCTCTCTCTCTACTTCCTTTTTTTTTCTTTCTTCTTCTTTCGCTGCTCCGCCTCAACTTACGTGTGAAAATTTTAACTTGAGAATATTACGGAGAAACTAATTTCTTTTATTTTTTATGCGAAAAAATTCGCTCGTATACGAGAGCCCGTACGCTCGTGCTTGAGTGATTTTTAAAAATTATGGAAAATGTTATCATAACTTGGGCGAATATTCTTTATGTCAAAACCGTTTCTCGTATTTTTCTTTCACTTCAATGAGTCGAAATCTGCACTGGTAAGACGAGCGCGCGCGAAAATTCCGTCGAGCATAATTGAAATGTACATTGGAGGTAAAATATTCGCGCAGTTCGCAAGTCCCAGCCCTCCGTTCGTGGGTTGATTTTTCACATATTTTAGACTCACTACTTATCGCGATTTTCTTTGCTCCGTTGTTTTCGAAATCAACGGACCGCGTAATATTTCCACGTGCAAGACTTTTATTCTTTATAAATGATAGGTTCAAAAAAAAAAACACAAGCGTACAAGTCCGGGCATTAATTAAAACCTTATGTGCGCAAGTTACGGTCTCTCTACGCTCTCGAAACAGAGAAAACTGACTATGGACATAATTAAACTTGAAAACTGCTTCAAAAAAGCTCAGCCGTAAAAGACTCGCTTGCTCTTACTCTCTCTCTCTCTCTCTCTCTCTCTCTCTCTCTCTCTCTTTGACTCATCAAGAAATACTTGAAAAAGGGCTATTGCTCTCACAAAGAGTACTAAAAAGAAGACGAAGAAAACGGCGCGCGCGAATCGTTCGCGTGGGGCTTCTGTATAGGAGATAAGAAGACCTTATAAAACTAGAGGGGAAGATTATCAAACGTAATTCGATTATCACTCGGCCGCTGTGCCGACCCTCGAATATACTTTGCGTCGCTTCTTATTAAAATGAACAAGACTTGATTCGAGAGCTTTTACGTGTGCATATTCGTAGTTATATATGTATTGCCTTTCATGAAGTCATAATAAACTTGTGCGACTTTACAGGAGAGGAGCTGCAGTGCCTGGCAACGTGGAAAGACGGAAGGAACATGTTCCTCGTGGGTACTATCAAACCAGCTGACAGAGACATGCCTTTCAGCGTTGATACTTTCAGGTATGATCAATGAATTCCTTTGCCCTTAGCGACAGAGGCTTGATTGACTTTTTTAAATAAAATTTACCTCTAAGGTCACCGTTGCTCCAAAATTCATTAGTAATAAAAGGCCCCTTCAATTACAAAAAGTTTTCACTACAATTATAAGAGTTACTGAAATATTTCTTCTGCACAGAAATAATAAAACAACAATTTTAAGTGACAATGATTTGGTTTATTGAAATTATAACTCGATCATTCAATAAAACAGATCTTACATTAATAATCTACATTTTCTTGATCTCATACAATCGTATTCGCTATCTGACTTTTAATAAAAATACAAATCGATGAAATGAGTGAAATCATATTCTTATTCCTGGTCTTCGACACACTCGCCATGGAAGCATATCTGAAAAATAAATCGATTATTTCAATCATACCCTCATGGTCGTAAAGATTTTTGAAGATATATACCTTGCCACAACCACAACTTGTACCATGTAATGGTGGCAAATCGGTCTCAATTTCTTCTACTTCGTAATCTGTTTCGGCATTTCTTTTGGCACAATATTGAACGGTACAATCTTCTACTTTATCTCGTGGCTATCAAAGAAAATAGTAAATTTCTTGACTAGTATTAGCTACATTATATGTAATTATTTTAAAAAACTTACAACGTGTGCGAAATTACTGGGAATTAAATTCCAATTATCAGACAATGAGGAGCCAATCGATTGACATTGCCGGACCCGAGTAGAGAAACTACCTTGAAGAACTCGTGGATGTGGCTTGCCAATGTTTGGACGATTTCGCAAATATTTATTTTCTGGTTTGCTAATTACATTATCCATGATGATAAGTATTAAAAATCATTAGTTTTGAATTGGATTATGACAATTTTTTTATACTATACTTGAGAAATTGTGAAATATCACGGAGTGAACATTGGGACCAAGCGAATCCATGTTTTCTTTTGGGTGCATCGCCACCCATAATGTAAGGAGAATTAAGACAACCGGTATCCCGATCATGATCTGCATTCAATCTAAAAATTATAAAAATATTTCAGGTGAAAAATTTGAAAATGTTTTTTAACGATAAATACATGATAATTATATCATTATTACAAATGTCCAAGCTCGTGTGCACCAACCATAACGTAATAGAAATCGTGTTCAAATTCACCACCTGTATACGCAACTGTGCGTTTCAATTTACCAACATGCGATGCCACTCCTTTAACGTAAAAGTAGTAAAGCATACAATTAAGAATAAATTATGATAAATGGTACTAGATCTAATTATAACTTTCTTACCATCATTGCCGTGATTATTAAGTCGACTAAAAACAATCATTTTATTGTACCATATTTTTACGAATATAAATTGTCATTAAAAGAGCAATAATTTACACAAAAAACAACTTACTTGGTCATGAGAAAAACCACATCAAAAGAATCCTCAGGAATTCCATCTAAATTTCCACTATCTTTTGCGAAATATTCATACATATCATCGATTACTTTAAAATCATCGAAACTTCCTAGATCATGGTTATAATTTTTTTCTACATAAGGAATTGCTTCCGGACTCTTTTTCATGCAAAAATAAAAACAGTTCTTAATAAATGTATTCTTTAAAAACTCAATATTAATATTTAGGTTCATTTTAATTTACCTCTGGAATAATAAGACCCGCAATATTTAATCTTATTTTCGGACTTTTCATGGTTCTATATAAGAGATCGACACTATTCCAGTAAGCTGCTGCCACTTCAGCTATTTTAAATACATTTCCACCATATTTTCTATGCGAGATAATATAGAAATACGTTTTTGAATAGATAAAACTATCATAATTTTTTAACACTTACTTGTAAAGGGAGTGATCTACAACCACTAGTATTTCTGGGTAAACAATATCTTCAACTTCGTGATATGTTTTTTCCGATTCAACGTGTTCTTTAGGTGATACTGAGCACATCAAAAGTTTATTAAAAATTATAATGTATCGTTGTAATGCTTATTTAAAATAACAAAAACTTACATTTTTGATGTTGTTCATGTCCACAAGAATTCATTCGCTGCGGTTCGGGCTACAATAAATAATTTTAGAATGCCATTCAGTTATTAATCATGAAAGCATTCAACATTTTTATCGAACTTGGCAACTCACGTAATGATACGCTCGGTACTTGACTTTCTCAGTTTCTTCATCGTATTTTGCTATGTACAGGGGTGTATTTGTTCCAATCAAAACTCGTTCCTCCTCGGGCTCTTGAAGATATTGAGTGTAGTTAAACTCATGTGTTTCTATGAAAGGAACTAGCCGACTTAACTTTTCCAATGGATCGGGCTGCTCTTCGGGTTCGCTCGGTTCAGCTGAAAATATTTAAAAAATTCATTTTACTATTATTTTATATTTTAACTGTTTCTGAGTTTAAAATTTACTCGTTTGCTCAATTTCATTGTTCGATGTATCTAATTCCTCACTGACCGCCTTAGCATAAATACACGAAACACTAAGAAGAAGCGCAAATAAAACTGGCCTAATCTTCATTTTATTCACTTTTGCTAGTCTGTAAGCTTCTCTGTACTAAACTGTACTGAACAAATTGTGAAAATAATCGTGATTTTTATACTTAAACGTACTATCCGTTTTTTTCTTTATCTTCCTAAAAAGTTATGAAACCAAGATTCAAAATATCTGTGAATTTCTATGTTATCGCTAGATCCTGTCAAAATTTATTTCGCCTTACACTTGATAGATGGTTGACACTGCTTAGTCTTTTTTGGATATAATACATTAACGGACTTGAAGACAAGAAAGTTTTTTGACAAAAGATACTCATACATTCGTATTGATAAGGCATTCGTGTATGTTTACCATTTAATTTCCAAAATAAAATTCTTGTTTTAATGGAAAAAATTTAAATTGTTGAAATTAAATTTTTCATATTTAATGTATTCATTTCAGATGCTTTTTATATGAAAAAGTTCATCACAACGGCAAAATCGGTTATCTGATATCTCAATCAGGTGATCCTAGTTGTACCGGATTAACTTCGGTTACTGAAGGAGCTAAAACATTCAACTTCACCAAAGGTTCATATAATTTCTTCTTCATTTCAATAATTTGTTATGTTATACAAATAATCCTATCTTCTTTTCTTATTTAAATTAGAAGACAAAGAGCATGTCAGATGCAAATATCCATCGTGGGTTACCCAACATCACGATTGGCATTTCTTGGATGGCTCCAGAAATTATCACTTCACCTCGGGTAACTCTACTCTCAAGGTGTCTTATAGAAACGGCGGTAACGAAGTGATGCGAGAGGAAAAAGTCGTGTGTCATAACCTCGAGAAAATTCATCCCAAGGATGACTCTGAGGGACTGAAAGTGAAGCTCGTTGCTCATGTCACTAGTGGATGGTGAGTGATACTTTTTGAATGAATATCATACGTTATTACAAAAGATCGTTGATTAATCATTAAATTTATGTTCTTATTAGTGACACCGGTTACGTTTGTATGATATTTCACAAGAGAGACAATCATGTAATAGAGGTTCAACAGTCAAGCCAAAAGATGACAATGCCCCACGAAGCCTGTTCCCTTGATGATCCTGTAAAACAGCCTCACATGACCTTAATTAGTGAGTGATTTTTTGTAACTTCAGCGTATTATCATTACACGCATACTCAAATAGCTATGGTACTAATTAACACGCTCGTTCTTCAGCCTCATCACTCCATAAACGATCCTGCCCTAAACCGGGTCGTTACACAGTGATGGATCTTATGCACGTACCGCAGCTGAAACAAGCTCGTCGTATGCGCAGAAAAAGATACGCCGTGTCGACGGGTCGGTCGCAGAGCCATTGGAAAGAGGACAGCAACGAGGCCGGCGATCCGAGCGACGACTGCCAAAACGCCGACGTGCAAATAGGATGCTCGTCCTCGGGACAGAACGAAATGATTATTCAGGAATCGTGCAAGAAAAACGATATCGGTAAGAATTTTATTCATAATATCGATGATAATGCTGGAAATCAACGACTAACCGCGCGATTAATTACCAAAGTTTCAGCTTACTCGTGCCACGGCAGCTGGGAGGAAGCCGGTACCTGGTACACCATAGTGTCGCGCAACAGGAGCGCGACCGCGGAGCGCGAGACGCTGTGCGTGGCGATGCGCCTGACCGAAGGCAATATTAAAATGGGTCGCGTCGAACAGCAGGAACTCTGGCTGTCGCGACCGACGAATTTGTGCCAACGAGCCGTTTCGTCCAGTCAATGGACTTACAAACTCACTAATCAAGGCAAGTCTACTTATTGCTATTCATTCGAGTGACTCTGTGTGTGCGTGTGTATGTGCTATATCTACATGCTAACCCGAGGCGCAATAAATCATTGCGGGGGTGTATGTAACGTGTGCGCGTGTTTGCTTTGGACTCATAACTCATCTCCTTCTTCTTCTCGTTCCCAGGTGTATGCGAGGATTTGACGAGGGCAGCGTCGAGTTCCGGTTCTACGTCGCTGCTCATGAGGGTATCCGTTGCACTGTCGGTCGGCGTGACATTGTTCAGTGCCATCCTGTCGAGATGATGTGCGGCAACTACGAGTCACTGCCAACCATGCTGAATCGTCGTCAACGCTCTAGTGTAATAAGGCTTATAAATAAATGCATCGTGTATAGAAGAGTAGATAGTCTGTACATTTGCAGAAAAAAAATTGAGGTGCGAGAGATCGAGTTGGGAGTCTGCTGTCTCTTATGTATATGAAAAAAAAAAAAAAAAAAAAAAAAAAAAAAAAAAAAAAAAAAAAATAGAAGAATGACTGCGTATTTTTGTGAAACAAATTTTTTTTCGTCGTCATTTTGACTGTGCTGCGTAAATAGTAGAATTGAAACAACGTTCCTCATTGTTTGGAAAATATTAGTGAATGTTGCTAGTGAAATTTTATTGTATAGTGCGAAAGAGCCGCGATAGAATCGATACACTCTCGAGCTAACGGGCATTTCGAATTCTCAAGACAGCGATTAAGTTTTTCGCCCGAACAACTAATCAAGTACAAAATTTCAAATTTACAACAGACGTAATTAAATGAAGGGACCTTTTTACTGTAGACGATCTCAGACGTGATTTAATAAAACATGGCGCTGCGTGCCTTTGAACAAAAATGAAAATAAAGATTGATCCTTGTAAGCACTGTTTGACGTATGCAACTATTTTAAAAAGTACGCGATAACTAATGGATAAATAGATGTATTTAATATAAATGACTTTGACAGATTTTTAATATATAAAAAAGTAAAACGGAACCAAATGTACTGTTCAGAAAATGGATCGAACGATACGAAAGCGTATGCTTACAGTTTTGACAGCAGTCTCCTTACGGAGTCTTGGAAAAAATTAAGTAAAATACAATACGAAAATTCAAGACAGTTTGTAAATACATCGAATGAAAATGGTTACGAGATAATTGAACCGAACGACATCGATTTGTAAAAAAAACAATGAATGCATCAGTTTTCTAAAATATTGTAAAGGTGCAGAGTCTTACGCTATAAATGCTTTGTTTATGTACATAAAGATACTGTATAGAAACGCCGATCGATAGTGTTGAATTTATATCAATCTAAGTGTGCAACTAACATTTGTTTTTGTTTTTAATTATGAACGAACTTTCTTCGTTTAAATGAATATGTTATTTTATAATTTAACACAAAGTACCGAATACTAAGAAATTATTTTTAGAGAACTCGATATTTTAGAGTTTCTACTATTAATTCAATTATGAAAGAATAACGCGAAGTTGTGAATACGTTAGCTTTAAATAAAATCTTGTGTTATTTTATGTGTTATTGAGATACAATTTCAAATCACGATTAATATTATGTCATTCAATTGAATTAAAGTATACAGCTATAACCATTTATAAACTTTGTAAATATGACAAAGAGAAAATTATAATCGTATACATTGATTTATATTCGGAATGTTTAATTATAGTGTAAACTTGTTACAATAACTTTTGCAAAGGAAATGTATCTAGTTCAATTTGCAGAGCGGAATCCATTCCGATGTTTTTAATTTTGTTATTTATACATTTTAAGATCGTAACTAAACTTAGACAAAGCTTTTACGTTAACATTCGTGTATTGAGAAAGTAACGCACACCCAAGGTGTCGGTGGCAACGAAATTATTGATAAGTTTGTAAATAAAATCTATCATTAAAACATTTTAAAAATAAAAATAAATATAGAGACAGATCGTAAAACTGCATCGTAAAAAATACAAAGCGTGTAACGCTTTCTTCGTATCGGAGATAACTTTCTTATGGGTATTATTGCAATTTATTTCGTGCAAACAATTCAATGTTTGTCACGGGAAGTGCTAATATTTCTCCAAAATGTATCATAATGTCAGTTTTTGATTTAGAATGAAAATTATTTGAATTTAAGTATTAAGGGTGATCGTTTGGAAGTCGTTAAATTGAACGCTGGTTGGAAAAAACTAATCTAATAAAAAATGTAAAAAGATGATAAACGTGTAAATTACTAGGTAACTGCTATTTCTACTTGATAAAAGTGATCATAAGAGAATATTGTGTAACAGAAAAATAATATATATTACATATATGCATATATATTTTTCGTTTATCACTGTGATGAATACATAAATAATACGAATAACGATTAAGAATTACAGACAATTTTGCGTGTTTTTTTCTCTTGCCACCGTAATATAAATCGAAGCATTCATCGAGTTTCAACAATTTTTGGGCTTTAAGAATTTATAAAATTATAAAACAAAAAATTAAATATTATCAGCGGGTGTGAATGATGTAAAATTCTGATAAATGATGAACTAGTAGACTTATATGCTTAATTAATGCAACTTCATCATGGTTTCAATCAATCGTATGACTGTGACTTCGATCATGAATTTTTCATTTTTGAAGATTATAGAAAGTATAAGAGACTTATGTCTAGTAACAAACAGATTTTAATATTTCTAAAGATGAAAATGACCTCATTGAAAGAAAAAAACTATTGTGATTTTCACACCTGTACGTTTGTTTTGAATAAAAAAGAGGGTGCATTGTGGAAGTAATCGTAGTTTAAAACAATTTTTTTATACCTAGGAACATGTAAGCTTTTGATCTTTGATCTTTAATCTGTTGATTCTAGATGTTAGCCAATATTGAAAAAGCGCTCAACTAAATGGAAATGAAAAATTATGCCACAGTACCAATGTAAAGGCGCACTTCAGTCTTTTACTGACAGTCGCAATAATAATGCGAGAGCAAGCATCATGTGTATAATGTTTATTATTATATTTTGAATACAAAATACATAAATATATATAATTTAAAACTTTGAAATTGTGTAATTCATTGTAAACCCCTTTAAAAACTGTATTAAATCTACTTTAACTCGATTTAGTCGAGATGAGTGTTCATTTAACATATAATTGAATGTGCAACTTCATAAATATTTTACTGTCGCAATTTCTAATTAACTAAAACCTAAGTACATGGGGAGATTTTTAACTTGACCATTTCTACGACTAAAGTATACACCATTAGCTCTTACTTTCTTAACGCATTCGATAATTGTACAAAGCAGCCTATAAAATGATTTGCTCATTCTTGGTCTTCCACACACTTGCCTTGGAAGCAGATCGGAAAAATTAATCGATTATTTCAATCATTTACATTCAAACTATTTTTGTAAGTACTTTTTGAGATATACCTTACTTCAGCCGCAACTTGTACCATCATCTGGTGGCATTGAAGTTTTTGCTTCTTCTAACTCATGATCAGTTAAATCAGAAAATTCACTCGTTTGCTCGTTATGATTCAATTTTGAAAATCACTTTATCATATTATTTTAATGAAAGGAAAAATTTTTGCATTCAGAGATAATAATTCCATTCATTAATTTTACATAATAATTAAAGGCCCTACGTTGCACGCCACACACTCTGTTGAGTATTCAGATTTGACATTAAACATCATTATCCGCTATTACGTCGTGGCTTTTAAGCTGTCGTTTTGCATTTTAAGCAAGGAGTTTCTGGTTAATAATGGGAGCCCGGCTATCTTTATGATACGGGAAGTTATTCAAATAAACGATCGATTCATGAACTTATCAACTTATGAGAAATCGAACAAATGGAAATATGATATCGTCAAAGCAAGGCTGAATGACAATTTTCAAAGATTTTTTCTAGGACTTGCATGAAATATTTTTCGATTTAACTACTCAAATATTTTCACTTGTTAAATAAAAAAATTGGTAAATTCGATTTTATTTGCCGGAACAACTATACCGAATCAAACTTTTTGAAATTTGTTGGTATACAGCGAAGATTGTCCATCTCGCTCGTGCCTATTGTTGTTTTTGTTTTTGGAAACGAGCCGAACACACCGTCAGAAATTTTGTCGAAGCTCAGATCGAGCGACGATCCCATACGAGTCAACGATCTTGCAAGGCACAGGCTATCTCACATTTTCCCAGTAAACATGTCTTTGACTCAAATGATCCGGAATGAATTGATTCGGAGAAGGGCTCGGAAAAAAAACGCCGAAAATCAACCACCACCAGTTGAACCAAAACTTGATCAGGAGGGTCAATTCATCATTCGCCTTCCCGAGGTAAGTTTTTACTATATTATAGTACAGAGAGACTTTTACCTCCTTCTTATTATTCACGTCCTGAATTTTTCAGGAAGAAGCAAAGAAACTAAGGGAAGCTTTGAGGAATGACGAGATCTTCAAAGATAGATTAGGTATAAAGATGGAAAACGATTTGAGGCACGCAGAAGTTCGATTCGATGATGATATGTTCGAAGCTAAAGTAGGTTTTTTTATCTCTAACTCGTTCATTACTTATTTTTTATATTTATATCATTCCTATTGCAGGTCGTCGATTTACCAACGATTGTGGAATCGTTAAAAACGTTAGATGGTAAAAAGTTTTACAAAACCGCAGATATATGTCAAGTATGGGAGTTCATTTAAAAACCATCAATTATCAAGCATTGAATCATCTATTAATATTTTTAATAAAATTCATTATTATAGTTACTTATTTGCAAAAAAAAGGATGAAGCTTCAAATTCTTTCAATAAAACGAACGAGTTTTACAATGAATCTAAGTCGATACTCAAAGAAGAGATGAAAGATCCTTCGAAAGTCGATAAAGAATTTTTGTGGCCTGATGGTATCACGCCCCCACTAAAAGATGTTAGAAGGAAGAGATTTAGAAAAATTAAAAAAAATCCTTCTCGATCACCTGGAATTAAGGAAGAAGTAACAAGGCTTTTGATAAATGATGAGGAAGCGATCAGAAGTAAGTGGGAGGTGTTATACGAAGACGAAAATGAAGCAGTGAGACCAAAATGTGAAAATTTCTCTGACGAACCCGAAAATCAAGAAGTAAAACCCAAAATTGAAAATTTCTCCGATGACGTTCCAAGTATTATTATGAACTATTTTAGACGAAAAAGTTTTGATTAACGTTTATAAATTATTTTAAAAATTATTGTTAACTTTTAGATGAGTGTGACATATTTGGAGGAGCCGTTAGTGACAGCGATGAAGTAGATGAATTTCCAGTAAAATTAGAACCAATTGATGAAACTAGTAATATGTTCGAAGATTCAAATTCAGCACTTTTGGATCAATCCTTTAATGAATCAACGGAAAATAAAGTTCCTCTAGTAGTAGAATTTAATAAGGAAATGTTTACAACTGAAACATCGCACGAACAAGTTAAAATTAAAGAAGAGATGATATCCGAAGTAGGGTTAAATTATAACAATGAAACATCGGAAGGAACCTTTGCTGATTTTAAAATTAAAGAAGAAATTATCGATGAAGTAGAGTCAACGAATCACAATCAAAATTATTCGAACTCCCAAACTGCGATAAAAAATCCAGGTTAATTCAAAGTAGATTTATAATATTTTATTTCAAATCATTGAAAAAATTACCAATAAGTATCACTTGCGTCTTTTTCATACAGATATGATTGCTAAACGTGAACAACTGCAAATAGATATTGCTAGGCTACGAGAGCAAATAAGAGAACATAGTGAAACATTAGAAAGTATAGAAAATGAAAACTTGAGAGAACGCTTTAAAAACTTAATAATTGATTCGTTAGTTATGCAAGAGAAAAAAATTAAAGAGGTAATTAAACTTGTTTAATATTTGTTTTAAAGTGGATAATAGTATGTAGTATAATTATATGCTTTTTTACAGCTTCAAGAACTTGAAGCTTCAATGAATTGATAAATTAATTAAAATTTTTCTCATCAAATTGTAATATTAAAAAATTTGACCACGTGAAAAAAAGTCATGTCGCAACAAGCGTAATTAAGGCTATAAAAAGTTATATTATTAACGCCAACGAAACTTTTTGGTGACAATAACAAATAGCTATAATTTTGTTATTGCAACTAAAAATATTATACAATATTTTTAACATACCTATTTTTGGTACTGCCTAGATTTTTGATGAGAGTTAAACAAAACGTTATTCTATGACAATGATTAAAAATATTGCATAATACTCTTGCAATAAAGTATTCTTAGTTGCTGTAACAACATTAGCTTTTTGTTAGTGTAACCAAAAACGTTAGCTTAGCACCAATAATATTCATAATTACCGTAATAAAATAAATTGTTGTGTACACAATGAAATTCTTTTCAGCAATGCAGAATTTTTATTTGTAGCATAAAAAATCAATACTACCATCACAATAAATAGCTCTATAATTTATAGAGGAAATTCTAAATCAAGAATATTATTTTTTTTTTCATTTGTAATACTTCAGAAAAAAAATGATTCAATAAATTGATGCTTATGAAATTTAATTATTACAAAAAATTTTTTAATAAACTTTCTCAACTTTACAAATATTACCTTTTCAATAAGCACAAAGCTTAAACTTTCAAAATAGGTAAAAAGCTGTAAACGCGCTAAAACAAAGATATCCATGCCTGTATTTAGATTATTTAAAATTGAGTCTTCTCGTAATACAAATTACTTCTTAATCATAACTAGTGACATTAAATGTGGAATGTTAAATATCCGAAATCGGGCACTTTTTGCTGCATTTTATCATACAGTTTAACGCATAAGCGTTGTAACTACTGTTCAGTCAATCTGCATTAACTCAATCAGCGTGGCCCTCTTCTTTCATAACCACTCGATAAATCTGGATGTATTTACTTAATATTTATAACAACAACAACAACAACAAAAACAACAAGAAAAGCAAATACACTGAAAAGTATTCATACATAAAAAATTTCAGTTAAGACATTTCTGCTTATTATACGGAGTCAAAGAAACGTGCAAGGACAAACGATCGCTAAACGACACACGAAAATTGCAAACTTGATGGCTGCAAGAGTGTTGCCTTTTTTCAAGAGCTTTAAAACTAACTGCTCGCTTTTCAAGGTGAATTTTTTTTAGTAAAGGTCTGATCGCAAAGCTTTATTGCATGACTTCAGTCAAATATAAATATGTATAACTTTATACAGTTTTGTGTATTAAATTTATTCAGTTCGCGACTATGAAAACAAAAAATTTATATCTTATATGCAGTATCCTTAATAATCATATGAAGCAGCCTGTGTAATGATTTTTTCATTCTTGGTCTTCTACGCATTTGCCTTGGAAACAGATCTGAAAAATAAATCGATTATTTCAGTCATATTCATTTAACTATTACTTCTAAAAACTTTTTGAGATATACCTCGCAACACCCGCAACTTGTACCGTCTAGTGGTGGGTCTAATTCTTTTGCTTCTTCTGCTTCATAATCAATTTTGGCATTTCTTTTAGCACAATATTGAACTGAACAATCTTCTTCGTATTCCCGTGGCTGTAATTAAAAATTAAATAATTAAATTATAAAAATGAAACAATCGCAATAATGCAAGATAATGACGTATGCAGTCATCCTTTTTTGAAACTTATTTTTCTGCAACACTTTACGGGCTACAATGCATATTTACGATACAATTATGTGCGCTTTAATTTTTCACGCATCTAAAGAATTCGATGCTTGAAAAGTTATGCATAATAGTCATGAATTGAAAATAAGATCGAATTTCTTGAAGCAAGCGATATCCGTATTACCAAAACCCGTATGACCATATCCGTATTAACAAAAATTGAAACGAATGAAAATCAACAGTACCTCTCATTCGAAATAATGTAATAATGGAAATAATGGAAATAATGGAAATTGTCAAAATTGTACAAATTTACTGGTCCAAACGTTACTGGGCCCTTTTATTTTTGAATCATTCTACCCTGATCCAGGAATTATTTGAATATTTGTGATTTTTCATGAATTTCAAATAAACCCTAAAATGGCCAACTTTGGGCCTCTGAAAAAGTGTCATAGAAGGCCCCAATTTTTCTGAAATTTTTTTGGGACAAATCTCACATCAAATACAAGTTTTTCATATTTGCAGAAAAAAAAATTTTTTGGCCATTCGATTTCACAGAGAATCAGCCATATATAATAAAATTATTTTTTTTTTAGTCATCGATTTTCCAGATTTGTTGGGTAGGCCAGAATTTTAGAGCGAGATTCATTCAACGCGTAATATATAGATAAATTTTTTTTTTAGTCATCGATTTTCCAGATTTGTTGGGTAGGCCAGAATTTTAGAGTGAGATTCATTCAACGCGTAATATATAGATAAATAATAATAATTTACTTCATTTCAACATTTTAACCCATTAACCTCCAAAATTATGAAATTTTTAGTTTGCGATCGATGTGATTTTTTCTATGTTTTGGAAAATTCTATGCCTTGAAAAGACTTTGCACTTACATAAATTTTATGTAAAATTTAATGCCCGAAATCTGAAAGGGTGATAATGAGTTAATACAATTTTGACTTTATCAGCAAGAAAATGAGTTTTTATGTCTGCTTAAATTTTTCTCAAAGGGGGCTTACACTTAAATTAACTGGTATAAGCCTATAAACCTTCAGAGATAAGCATTTGGGATATCTAAGCTGTTTACCATAAGATTCCAAGTGTTTGCATGACACGATTGAGTTGTATGTGATTTCATTTTCTTTGATGGATCATTATCCATCAACGCAACCTCAAGCTAAGCATAAGATCAACTTTGACTACTTCTATATAAAATTTAATAGAATATTTTATTCATTGATGATTATTTTTGATAAATTTTATTTCGTTTTCTTCAAAATTATTTGAAATTCAACGTAAAATTACATGTTCAACTTCTACGATTTTAATACCCAAATTGCAAATTTCATATGATCTCCTCGACCAAAAAACTGAAAGCACGTGGGAAGTTTCAAGTTTATCATTACAACATCTGATCTACTCAAGCTATTTTGCATTTTTTATCGCATCAAATGATTATGCAGTGCATCCTGTGCAATGGTTTTCTTATTCCTGGTCATCCACGCACTTTCCTTGGAAGCATATCTGAAAAAAATAAATCGATTATTTCAATTATTTAAATTTAAACTATTTTTGTAAGTACTTTTTGAGATGTACCTTGCCACAGCCGCAACTTGTACCGTCCAGGGGTGGCTGTTTGGTTTTTATTTCTTCTGCTTCATAATCAGTTTCGGCATTTCTACTTGCACAAAACAGAACTGAACAATCTTCTTCATATTCCCGGGGCTAGGATTGAAAATTAAATAATTAATTATTTGAGAAAATATATGCAGTCGTCCTTTATCGGAACGTTTTATATCTCTCAAATGCTTTGTATGCTACAATACATAATTACAATAAAATCATGTGTAATTTAAATTTTCATCCATCTAAAAACAAATCAGAGGGTGAAAAGTTATGAATATTAGTAATAAGTTGTAAGTATGATAAAGTGTCTTCAACCAAACGATACCATAAAAATAATAAAGATATAATTTTCAGAATATCATCGAACTAGGCTCCTGTAAAGGTTGGTTATATCACAAGATATACGACATACCGAACATATTCAACAAAAAATAATTATGAAATATTCATATAAAAATTTTAAAAATATATCACATTTTCGATGATCAATCGTTATTTGATTATACTTTTAATTTGAGAAACATATCTATAATTATCAGAAAGGACGACTGTATTCATGAACCATTTGAATACTTTACCACATGTGAAAAGTAAGTTGGGTCCAAATTGAAATAATTTTGCAATTTGCCGCCTAAGGATTGACATTGGTGATCTCGAGTAGAATAACGACCTTGCAGGATTCGCGGATGTGGCTTTCCAATATTCGGTCGATTTCGCAAAAATTGATTTTCTCGTTTGCTAATAACATTATTTGTGATAAATCTTATTAAAGGTGGTCAGTTAATAAAATAATAAAAACATTTGTACACTGTACTTGACAAATTCTATCATATCACGAAGTGAACATTGAGACCAAGTGAAGGCAGATTTTCCTTCAGGATTCCCCATAATGTTAGGAGATTGAAGACAACCTTTTTCCCAATCGTGATCTGCTTTTAATCTGTAAATTTTAAAAATACTTTAAGTAAAAGCATAAGATATTTTCAGTCATTAGTGAAATTATGATAATCACAAATGTGCAAGCTCGTGTGCGCCAGTATTAACGGAATCAGAATTGTGCTCAAAATCGCCGGTTCCCCATGAAACTGTTGTGTATGTTACATCTCCCACGGCCGTTCCTTTAAAATGAAAGTTTTCAAATAGGTTTCAAATAACAATGAACTATTTGTGAGATTGTTATTACTTAAGATTAGTTGTTCTTACCCAAAAAATTCGGTGCGTTTAATCGACTGAATAAATACAAATACTCATTATTATTAACGGATATATGTAATTTAAATATTATTAAATTTTATGAAAAAAAAATTTACTTTGTCATAAGAAAAGCAACATCAAAGGAGTCCTCAGGAATTCCATCTAGATGTTCACTATTTTCAGCAAAATAATCAACCATATCATTCTCCATTTTGGATGTATCAATACTTCCTAGATCATGGTTATAATTTTTTTCGACATAAGGAATTGCTTCTGGACTCTTTCATATGAAAAAAGAATCAAATATTAATTAGTTTATCCATTGAAAAACTTTATGTTAAAACTAGGATTTGTTTGAACGTACCTCTGGAATGATAAGACCTGCAATGTTTAATCTTATTTTCGGACTTTTAATTGTTCTATATAAGAGATCGACGCTATTCCAGTAAGCTGCTACGACTTGGGCTATTTTAAATACATTTCCCCCATATTTTCTATTTAAGATAATGAAGAGATGATTAAATAAATAATTAATACTATTATAATTTTCAACACTTACTTGTAAATCGAGTGATCTACAACCACTAATATTTGTGGGTAAACAATATCTTCATTTTCGTCACTGGTTTTTTCCGATTCAATATGTTTTTTCGGTAATACTGAGCATATTATGTGTGCATTAAAAATTGTAATGTATTATTTTTAAATAAACTTGAATATAAAATGACATAAACTTACATTTTTGGTGTTGTTTATTTCCACAAGAATTAAGGGGCTGAGGCTCGGGCTAGAACAATAATTTTCATGCACCAGTCAAATATTGATCTCAAAAAAATTAAGGGCTTATATACACCTTAAACTTAAATTTTTTTTATTGAAATTTCGAGTACGATTTTTCCTCCTCTTTTCATTGCATTATTCAAAACTCCAAAATGTTGATTCTGTACTGAGTTACAGCTATTCCCGTGAGCCTTTTTCCTACGCGTATTAAATTTTTTCTTATTTTGCGTTTTCTGGAAAGTCGGGTTTTTGGTCATCTGTCGTAATATTCCGAGCGTACCGATTGAGCTTTCTGCACCAAAGTCGCATACACTTCTTCAGAAAATGAATGGTTACGGCCACTACCACGGGTGAGATGATCGAATTGACAGATTGCTTTGCATGAACAGTTAAGCACTCTTTTTTTTTATTTTTCGTTTTTGCTGAAATTTTAGTCATAAAATTACTATTTAAGAGAGACTTATGAGTTCGATCATCTCACCCGTGGTAGTGGCCCAATCATAGATGTTCTGAAGAAGTATACGCGACCCCGGTGCAGAAAGCTCAATCGGTTTCAATAAAAAAAATTTTAAGCTTAAGGTATATATAAGCCCTTAAAAATTTTTATCGAACTTAAAAACTCACGTAATGGTATGCCCGGTACTTAATTTTCTCAGTTTCCTCATCGTATTTCGCTATGTACAAGGGCGTATTTGATCCAATCAAAACTCGTTCCTCCTCGGGCTCTTGAAGATATTGAGTGTAGTTAAACTCATGTGTTTCTATGAAAGGAACTAGTCGACTTAACTTTTCCAATGGATCGGGCTGCTCTTCGGGTTCGCTCGATTCAGCTGAAAATATTGAAAAAATTCATTTTAATATTGTTTTATATTTTAACTTTTTCTGAGTTTAAAATTTACTCGTTTGCTCAATTTCATTGTTTGACGTATCTAATTGCTCACTGACTGCCTTAGCATAAATACACGAAACACCAAGAAGAAGCGCAAATAAAATCAGTCTAATCTTCATTTTTTTCCGTTTGAAAGTCTGTAAGCTTCTCTGTATTAGACTCAATTGACCAACTTTCGAGAATAGTCGTTATTTTTGTACTTATACGGGCGTTATTTTTCCCTATTATCAGTTTTTTTATCTTCCAAACTTCTTTTAAAAAACTTGAGTTCTTTCAAAAAAGTTATCAAACTAATGTTCGTAGTATCTGGTAATTTATGTGTTATCGTCAGACTCTATCAATATTATATTTCACCCTGTACTGGACAGACGGTTGATAATGTTAAGTCACATTTTTTTATAGTAAATTGAACAGCCTCTCAAAATGTATCGCATTTATCCTACATTTATACTGATATCATTTACCATAGAAGCATAGAAGCACTTATAGCAAAGGCTTCTATAATGTTCTTTTCAATTTCACAGATTCAATTATGATTATTTTTGAACTATAAATATTAATTTCGTACTTTTTTCCATGCAAATATTTGTAGTGGGTTGTTTGAAACCAGTGTCACGCTGTTCGCTGATTTAGAAGGGACGAAAGTAAATCTTGCATGATAAACCGTACAGCGACGCTATATAGGCTCATTAATATTTAAGTAATTAATAGTAAAGTACAGGAGTTTAATAAATAATTTAATAACTGATAAAAGAAGTGGTTAAATGTTACTTGAAATCTTCATCCTAGTTAAACTATATGAAATCAAGCATCATGTTTATAATTTTTTAAAGTTCTGTTTTATACAAAATTTTTGAATGTTAAATTAAATTTTTAATGAACTTCGATAATCATAAATCCAATAAATTACATCAAATGATGTAATTCAATGATATGATTATATTTATGAATTTTTTGATGTCAAATAATAAAAAAATGGTACTTATATTGACAAAAAATTCCTTATTTTGTCTTGCAACCAGAAATCTTTAAAAAAGAAAAAAAAAATTTCTTATGCAACTGATGAACGAACACAAGAGAGGAGTCAACACAACTCTCTCGTCCTTAATCTGAATTGACTATCAAATTTAAGCATTATCAGTGTTATTATAATCAATCACATTATTTTACTTTGTTTTTCAAAAAATACAGGATCGCTTAGCGAAAAATAAGGATCACAACACAACGTAGATTTATTAATGTCATTTATATTAATGTATGCTATTCATTGAAGATTATTCATTTTTAAAATCAATAATCTTTTTGTTAATTATTTATAATTTTATCACAAAATTCTGTTTGTCAATTGTCTTACAATCAAAAGTTGCTCTTTTGGTATTTGAAATATTATTACTATAACGTGGAATACATTTGAAATAAAAATTTACATTGTACTCCTTAATACGTTGGTAATATTATTGACGCATGCGGTACTGATACACGTGTGAAGTATTAAATTTCAAAATCTAGCTGGTGACGTCTTATTCATGTGTGATACGTACCTCAGCACAGATAATAGCATAGATAAATTTGAAGATATTCTAAACGAATCATGCGAAAATTTCCCATTAATTCAATTATCTCGTCTAAAACTGTAAGTAAATCTGCGACGAGCAGGGTCCAGCGACAGTGCCGTCCGAATGAAATCATGGAGGTCACTGTGGTGGCGATCTTCAAACTTGTTTCGTAATTTTTTCGCATTCGAGATTGCTGAAAATATTCATTTTTTTGATACAAGAGAAAAGAAAAGATAAAATAACAAATATTAGATGAGCAAATTTGAGACGAATAAAAGCCATCGAACGATTCTGTCTGGTTCTTTTTAATTTTTAATGCTCGTTAACATATTTTTTTTGAAAGCATTAACCGAATTTTCGACTATGCCCCTTCCAAAAAAACATACACACATACAGACAGTTATAAGTGAGAACCAGTTTGGCTAAATATACATACGGGTAATACCTCTTACGTCTAAGTCGACAGGAGTCATCATCGAGAGATCTTAAAATTTAAGTAAATATAAGCGGAGGCAGTTCAGTTTTCGAGTGTAGTACGTCAATGTCGGTCCACGAGTAAAAAGCACAGAGTTACAATGAAGAGTTTTATAGTTTTATCAGTATTAGTGACATTGGCAGCAGGTAAAAATAAGTTAATTCAGTGCAGTGTGTCGAAAACGTTGTTTTGATTCGCGAGCGAACGTCTACTTTTGTTTTTCCATTTTCAAGGCCAAACCTGTCCGCGAGGTACTTCGTACGAGGATAACTGTAACAAATGCACGTGCAACCCGAACACCGGAGCCGTGGCTTGCAGTCTGGGCGGATGTGCCGCTGCCAACTCAGACATCGAAGATGTCCAATATCAGAAAAAACTTCTGAACTTCGATCGTGAGTAGCTAGAAAAAAAATAGACACTCGACGCTCGCGAAAAACTTTCAGCTCGAAAGCCTGCGCCTTTTTTTACAGCCAAACGCAAGATATGCTCGCCCTCCCTGATTTTCGACCAATGCCGAAAGTGCAAGTGCTCCCTAGACGGTCTATCCTACCAGTGTCGGCACCAGACTTGCGATACCTTGGCCTTTGCTAGGAGCGCGTTGCCGATCTATAACCCGCGTATGCATAATATATATATTTTTTTTAATAAATAAATTACGTAAATATAACATCGAGTTTAAATAATATCATACTATAGCGACCAAATATTGCCCGCGAGGCGTCGAATACAAGGACGGATGCGGCCACACGTGCAGATGCAGCTCGATAAACGGCAACACCAACTGTCCACCGGGTTTCTGCGACAAGCCAGATCCACCGATCGAAGACAAGCCAGAAGGGAGATCTCCATGGGGCGAGTTGACTGTATCTGCACTTCGTGAGTATAGTTTAGTGAAAATAAAAATCATGTCTAAGCAACCAATCGTACGAATTATCTTGAAAATTTTCATTCAATTTTTTTAGCTACCCGCGTCACCGGTGAGCCGTGCGCACCAAACACTTTCTTTCCGACCGAGTACAAAAAATGGTGCCATTGCCAAATGGATACAAGCCTTTTGAAGTGCGATTTAAAGGAACCACCGACCCAAGAATTCTTGGACGCTGCGTATACGGCTTACATGAATAAACAGGGGTCCACAACGACTTTTAGGCCCGTAGAGCAATTAACCACAACCACGACGACCAGTGCTCCGATTTGTAAGCTTTTTATCATTGTCAAATGAATAATTGTATTCATTGTAAAAAATGTGTACGATACTCATCGGTGTGAATTTCTCCCGCAGTCTTCGAAGACACTCTAGCTGAAAAATGTCCGAGAGGCATCGCGTACGAGGAGGACTGCAACCATTGCCATTGCGATCCGTACAGCGGCAAAGCCCTTTGTCATCAGATTCCCAGCTGTATTGCGTCATTGATCCAGGTTCGACAGAAACCAGTAGATCCACCGACGCGTAAGTTGACAGAGTCGACTAAATTTATTTTTAAATTAAAAAATAAACGAATTGCTGAAATTTTTATTCGTCTCTAGAAACCTTCGCAAAATTAGAAACCGACCCAAACAACACGAGGGTATGCACGCCGAATTCTCGCTTCTATAGGGACTGCAACGTGTGTGTGTGTTCGGACACCGGCTTCTTCTTCAACTGTAGCGACAAAGTCTGTGAAACCAAAAATTAATTTTTAATTTTTATACCATAAGTGTTAATGCTATAAGACTTTTGCAAATATAATAATGTATGAAATTCGAAAATAAAATGTACATGTTAATAAAGAATTGAACAATCGAGAAGTTTCCTTCCTTCCTGAAGAAATCCCCAAGCGGAAAGCATAAATTTGATCGAGCGACGAACCTTGATGATTTCACGTGTATGCCACGCGTGTACCTATATGACGAATCTCAACGCGCAGCACTTTTAGCAGGCGTTAAAAACAATTTTCTAATAAACTTTCTCGTTTGTATGTATAGTTTGTCACTAGACCCTCGGACGCGCGAACTATCAAATCATGTGCGTAATGGTGCATCGACGTTTGCTAGTAGAGTCAGTCTCCCTCCCCCCCTCCGTCGAGTGACGCAATGCCAAGAGCTTGTATCGGTGCATCAGCTCGTTGCATCGAGGCATCGCAGTTACAAGTGCAAGTTCAAGCTCGGCCTGGCCTATACAAGTGATAAAAAAACTACTCGGAGGTGTTTGAAAACAAAAAAGGAGGAAAAATGTTAAATATTTAAATGCGAGGGTGTCGTTGATTAAACAGTGCTGATATCGAAATTATGCGAGTTGCGGCAATCACTTGGCTTTTCGTTACTTTTCTTATCATTTTCGCAGCCTTTAATGGTATGTTCATGACTTTTTTTGCTTCTTCTTTGAAATTTTGAGCAGTACAATTCATGTTTTTCTTTTTATTTCTTGGAATTGCTAAGATGCAGAAGAACTGAACGTCAAGTGCGTGCCAAAGACTCGATTCAAATTTTACTGCAACACTTGTTGGTGCTCCGAAGAGGGAATCACGAGGCTCTGCACGAAGAAATATTGCCCGGAAAATATCTTCAATCGTGATGGTTCGTTGAAGGCACCCATAAACATTCACGACAAATTGAAGGTTTCTCCGTTTAGTGTCGACGATGCGTATTACTATACCTGATTACGATCCACAGTTTGAAAATAATTGTGAAACAGATACTTTTGTATTAATTTATGATTTTTTCAACAAAACGAAGATTATAAAATATTTAGCAAATTATGCTTAAAAAAAATTATGTTTATTTTGACTTCTACAATACGACTATATTCGATATCAATTTTTAATATTAAATAGGTGTTTCGTAATAAATATCAATTGTGTAATTCAGTCGTGACAATGTTGCAAAATGTGATTATTATCATCGAAACATGAGGTCAATTGCTTCGAGTTAAATGTATTACTACACTCGGAGAGCAAAAGTAGCCATGAGATTTTAGCCGTGCGTACAACCGTTAAAATCCGGACTTCCGGGAATACGTTCGTCATTGATCATCATCAAAGCTGCATTGGATTATTTATCCTTGTATCTGAACGCACAAAAATATCTTCGTAGTTAACAATATTCATGCCTGTTCAATTTGTTCATTGACAATTAAAAAAAAAAAAAGTAAAACTGTATAAATCGTTGAACTACATTCACGACTGATCGGATCAAATGTATGCGATTGCGCCAAATTAATCGTTCGTTGATAATCAGCACAGCTGACAGATCGCGTTTTCGAGTCGACTCTTCCGCGGTAAGATGTCGCTACTGGCGGCCAAAACATCGTGTCCGTGTATCGCAAAAGTCGCGACCTACTCTCTGCACAGAGCAGCGAATGCGATTGCGGATACAATCACCTTGCACGCACTCGCTTCATACACACGCGCGCATCCTATCATACTTGAATGTGTATACATTGCCAATGTGACGTAATGTACGTTGGGCCTGCAGCGAACGGAGACGTGCTTTTTTCCCTTGGTATTCGCGCATCGAGTCCGATGAAGCGATCAACCCATTTTCTGCGAAGCTTCGTGTACGTACGACAACTCCTCGGAGCGTTGAACTTGTATTCATATGCGCCAAGGTCCACATTGTGTGCCTTGTTTATTTTTTCCCCCTCTCTCTCTAGTCATCATCGACGTATGAATTTGTTGATAAGGATGGATTGACAATCGCTTGAGTGAGGCTTTCGATATAATTTGTTAAAGTAAAAATTCGAACGCTGCAACAAATATGAGAATCTGTCTCAGAGTTTCATTACTTTTAACGAAGTTACGACAAATTAAATCAAGAGCTTGAGATTCAGAAATGCAGTTCAACTGTAACAGATATTGATTCCCATCACTCACTTGGGTATATTAGTAAAGAAAGAAAAATTTTAATCTCTACGCCAAATGCAAGAAAAGGTATCGTTTTTCTACTTCGGCTAATCGTATAAAATCTGAATTATCTTTTTAATTCATGTAAAAATGTTCGAAGTATCACTAAAAGATTAAGGAAAAAATTTGAAACGTGCTTTAGGAATGTTAGCATTTTGATAGAAAAATTAAAAACATAAAAATTTTAATAAATAAAAAACAAAAAATGCATTTATGTTACAAGCTTCTATATATACTGATATGCCGCTTTCAAATTGTTAACAATTTATTTTATAAACAATCTCATGTAGTCACTTGTACAGAGACCACATTTTGTTGTTTTGGTCAAATAATATGTCATTTATTATATAGTGGATCAAACGCTGGGGAAAAATATATGTAAAAATTACGATTGAAAGTATGGATTTTTAAATATGGTTATTATATTATGATATTTAGACAAGGCATTTCATAACAAAATTTCACCACTACCCAGCGAATCTAGTACGTATCGTTGTGTGTATTGACAAACATTGTACCGATCGAACGTAACGATTTATTAGTTCGAGTCTTGCCTGACGATCCAGTGCCACTTCGAAATCGCACCTTAGTAGCCGCACCAGTTCCGTCAAAGTCCAAAAATCAAATTCGTTGGCGAGATCGTGACCGTGTTGCCATTTCCACGCAGTTGAGCAACTCAGCAATCATGCCGACAATCGACGGTTACGATGGAAATTGCGTAAGAAATACATCGCTTCTGCGAACAAAAACAAAAATAGCTATTCGAATTATTTGAAAAAAAAAAATTGTAATAAAAAAACCACTTCTTCTCGCAGGAGAAGCAAACCCTCTGTTACTACGGAGCGGATATGCAGGGCAATTCCCTTTTCGTCAAATTCAAACGTATCGCGAGGTCACACTCGGAAATAACATTATTTTTGAGCATCGACGATGGACAGACGGTTTACGAATTCCCGGAGCATCCGAACACGGTGATCCCACCGCACCAAGACCGGTGGTCTGCCCGGGGATTGAGATTCATAGTAGTACAAATGGACAGGATCGTTAGGATAAGGTTCGATGGTCAGTTGCGAAGGGGCACGCGTGAGAATTACAACGCGAACGTCGCTGGCGTACTCGAGCACGTGCGATTCAATTTCTCGTGAGTCAAAAGCAGGCTTTCTTCTTTCGTAATCGATTTCTTTTTTTCTTTATTTTCATATACCTTTGATCGAATATTTACAGGTTTCTCGCTCCCCAGCCTCCTCGTTGGAGCTGTAGAAGAGGGCTGATCGACAACTTTTTCAATCGAAAAATTCGACTCGATCAGTACGGATCAATGAGAGGTTCTGTGAGACTTCAAGATGCCTCGGACCGGAAGCTTGCATTACAAGGACTGCGTCAATTCTTCGTGGGCGAAAGTAGCCCCGGCGCGAGACTGATTGTGAGGGGCATGGACGAATTCGGAGATGGTTTTTGCAGTTATTCCAAAGACGGGTCGTCGGGGACATCGTAAGTCGCGACTACGCTCCTTTTTTCAGAAATGCAAAATTAATAAACACATTGGTTCGATGTTGATTCGCAGAAATAATTTAGGACACCTAAAAGATCCGATATACAATGTTAGATACATCCTCGCAAGCAACTTGAACGTGCATGAATTCGGAAGACGATTTCTTGGCGAGAATCAGATAGATGAGGCTACATTTCGTTTCGAAAGTTCGTTACGACATATTTTATTTATTTTATTAAATTAAATATTTTTTTATTTATACATTTTTTCAGCGCCCTACTACAATATGAGTTCCCCCCGGAGAGCAATGTACGTCTTAACGATAGAGTTGCAAAGAAATACGAAGAAAGTATCGTACAGTCGGTATCCTTGGGCAAAACAGACTACGTATTGGACCTGTACATTGACGCTGAACGGCTACAAAGGCCGCGGATTGATCGAATTATCCCAGCCGTACGACGGAGATTGCCCCGTGGCGATGCCCGAGGCCCCGATACTTCGGGTCGCAGAACACGATCAGGTTGGAAAACGCAGCTTGGCGAAGGTGATCGGCTTGAAAAGATTGTTCTCCCGAGACCCGAGACAGATCGGAGATAAAGTCGCCCTGCTCGCCGACGCGCAGGAAATGCAATCGGAGCAAGTAAGACACTTTTAATTGGTAACCAACGACAATTACTGACTTTCTTTTTTGTTGTTGTTGTTACTGCCTCAAGTTCGAAGTACCCGATGGCTTCTGCGTGACGACTTACGCTTTCACATGCTTCATGAATCAGAATAAAAAGCTGTCGGAAGCCATCGACAGTTTGATCAACAACTACAAAGCCAGAATGCCACCGCGCATCGGACAGGATCCGGAAGAGTGGCCAAAAACCGGTTCACCCAACTTAACTCAAATTTTGTCGAGGTGCGTTCACGCAAATCGTTTGAGAAATCGTTACTCGCTACACGCGCGGAACCTAATAATGCATTTTTTTTTCAGAATCGCCGAAGAGTTCACGAAGTCCCAAATGCCTGAAGACATACAAAGTCAGATAAAGAAGTCGATGGAGAAGATACGTGAAAAGGCTCCGGAGAACAGATGGGCCGTGCGACCGAGCCCCTACTTCGAGGCCCCGGGCGAGAGCTTCGCGGAGAGTGTGTACCAGACCGGGCTCGGCGCCAGCAGTGACTCAGTGATCGAGGACGTGAAGCGAATGTGGGCTTCGGTGTTCAGCCGACCGTGCGTCGAGTATCGACATCGCTGCGGTCTGCCTCTCAAAACGCCGATCGCCGTGTTGGTCCAGGAGATGGTCAACGCCCGTGCGGGCGGATCTCTGTTCACCAGGCACCAGGAGACCGGCGACCAGCGCGAGATCCACATCGTCTCGACCCACGGCCTGGGCACGCCGGTGTGCTCGGGCCTCGTCGAGGGCGACCGTTTTGTCGTCCGACGCGGCTACGACGACTCGCTGGAGATGCTGACCTGGACGCTGGGCAAAAAAAACGACCTGATCGATCCCTCGGGCAACGAGATTCCGGATGAGAAAAGCAAAGAGATGTCGATCAGCGAGCAGCTCGCCATGAAAATCGCCCGTATCGGCCTGGAGATCGACAAGCGTTACGACTCGGCGCGCGAAGTCGAGTGGGCCTGGACCTATCCCGAGGATAAGATCTACCTGCTGCAGTGTCGTCCCGCGGCCTCGTCGATCAACACCTGGACGGATTACAATCTCATCCACGAGCTCGACACGGACGTGGCAGCCGAGGGTCAACTGCTGACCTTCGTGCAGGCCGACGAGATGTTCCCCCGGGTCGTGACGCCGCTCACTTGCACCACCATCATCCACGGTCTCGCCGCCTCGACCTACGCCTTCTACGACGACAACGACAAAGACAGTGACGACGACGACGACCACGACGACGACGACGACGACGACGATGATGAAGACAATGACGACAAAAATAAACGCTACGAAATCAGTCCGCTGCACATCTCCAATGGAAGAGTCGCTTTCAAGTATTACAATGTAAGCAGCTATCGTCTAACTCGAAGAAATGACCCCTCTTGAACTATTTATTTTTTTTTCTTTTTCCGAAAAGCTCGTGAAGCCCAACAGGAAGAAAATACCCGACAAAGAAAGGATCCTCAGAGATTACGGCCTCTGCGGACAGCCGATCGTCACGCCGGATATCATTGACTCGTTGAAGATGCACAACGACCTCGGTCCCATCGATCGTTTCATGGGCAAAAGCGACGACAAGAAAAAATACCTGCCAAAAAAATGCGAAGCCAAGCTCGAAGAGTTGGAGACATTGGTGCGCGATTACTATCCGGAGCACGGACCAACGGACCTGAGCGGAGCCGCGTTGATGGTCGAGCTGAAAAAACATCTGGACGTGCTGCGGAAAGCGTCGCGGCGTTACGGCTACTTCTCGAGGCTCTGCTTCTCGCAACTAGTGAAAGTCATGTCGCTCCTGTCGGCCGACGGCGAGACGTTCACGGCCCAGAACTTCGCGGACATGTCGCGTCTGCTGGGCAACTGCAAGGGCAACTACAAGGGCATCGACACCGCCCAATTGCCCAAGCTCCTGGTCAAGATGAATACGGAAATCTGTCATGGATTGTCTTGCCCCGAGAAATCCGACGAGAACCGACTAAAATTGAAGGACTTGCATGTATCGCAAATCGACCAATGGATCAGAAGATCGGGTAACATGCATGCATTCAACGATATGGTGGAATTTATAAAAATGGACGGCTATTGCGGCCCTAATGAATTCGAACTGGAATCGGAACCTCTTCTGATGAGGCCCGATAGAATTTACAAGTTGATTCAGGTAAGAGCGTACATGATTTTTCGCTTCGACCAATTGTAAAAATTTGTATTTGCCCACAGTACTTACATCCGTGGCTCAAAAAACCCACCGGGAAGCCTGAACGGACGCCTATTTTTGAGACGGACGAAATAATACCGCCAGAAGAGGACAAAGATCCAGAAATAATACCGCGAAAAGACGATAAATTAGAGATAACTAATCCTCAAGAATGGGTCGCGAAAAAGATTAAAAAGGTTGTGTTGTCTTGTAAGAACTTATACAAGAAAGCTCAGTACAACGAGCCAGGCCTGGCGGAGCTGGTCGCAAAGATCGCGTCGCCGATCGAGCCCGAGACCCGCCATCGCATCGCCAAGCTGCTGCCGGACGCTCGTCGCAGCGTGGCGCTCCGGGAGCGCGCGAGGCAGCTGCTGGCCAAGGTGACGAACAACGTGCGCGCGCTCTACGCGCAGAAAGCCATCGAGCTCGTGAACGAGGGCAAATTGCCCGACGACAAACTCATCTACTATCTGACGAGCTGGGAGGTGACCCAACTCGTGGACTCGGCCTGCTATCCGAAGCTGGTCGACATTGCCCGACGCCGACGCGAGCTCTGGGCCCGGCTGGACGAGGCGAGATACCCGCGCACGAGCCACGGCCTGCCGCGACCCATCGAACAGGAAGACTTGGGCGAGGAGGTGCGCAAGGCCGACTACCAGACCCGGGGCGTGCCCGTGTGGGCCGGCATCATCTGCAATCGAGTCTTCGTCGCCGCGAGACTCGAGGACGGGCTGCAGGAGCGAGGCCTCAAGCCCTGGGACATACTCGTCGTGCCCTACGTCGACGCCGGCTGGAGCCAGTACTTCCCCGTGCTCGGGGGATTGATCACGGAGCGGGGCAGCCTGTTCAGTCACGGGGCCGAGCTGGCGCGCGACTTCAAGATGCCCTGCATCATGGGCGTGCCCAACGCGACGAGAATCTTCAAGACGGGTAAGAGCTCTCGATATATCGTTCGTGTTCGTTAATTTTTATCTCTCGATTCTTCGCTCAACGAAATTTGGACGTTTTCCAGGCGACGGGGTACACATGGACGGATCTACAGGTGAAATCAGAAGAGAGGCCGACGAATCGGCCTATTTCGTTGGAGAGGGCAGCGGTTCGATGCCCTTACCCGCGTCCTCGCGTTAACAATTGCTCAGCTGCGAACTAATTTAATTCTTTTTAGTATAAGTATAGGTATAATACGACGTCGAAGACAAAAAAAAAATAACAAGACAAATATTATCAGTAAAATATAAAGTAGGCTGTTTTAGAATGAGCTTATCGATGCGGAGAGTGGGACTATATATCGCGCGCACCTTGCCACGAGCAACGGGATGTTTTTGTATATTCGCGTGCGACAAACAGTTGGGACATCCATCGTGGATTAAATTTTCTGAAAATGTTGCGAAGCTTTACTTGCTACTTCTGAATAGAATTGTAAATATTTCTCGATGCAGCCGATCCGATGGATGTCCTTTTAACTTTTCGTCAGACTGCGAAATACCGTGCCCAACATCCGAATTGACGTCGCAAAGTGTGGAAACCACGTCCACCCTTCGCTCGACAGCGAGTTCGCGCGTACATGAAACAATCTACTTTTCATAGTCGAACGAATTAATATCCTATGCTTTCGATTTTTAGTTGACTCGAGGTCGTACTTTTTTCGTATCGTGCATCCAATTCATTTGTAAATAAATATTTGTAAATTATTTAATGTATTCAACGAAGCTATAGTGAAATATAGGTGATAAATGCTGAAGCTACGAAGAAAAATTTGATTTAATTGACTTTAAATGTAGCAAACAAAATCATGTATTTATAACTGTGTATAAATATAATAGGACTATATTATAATATTGGTTCTTATTTGGATAATTTTACCCAATAATTTTGCTCTTGAAAAGTTTAAAAAGTTCAATGTAACGCTTGTTGTGGCTGTTTTCAACATTAATTCAGATCAAGCACGACGTGTGTCGATCGTATCTTATAAAATTGGAAAATATCATAAATTACAAGTGTGTGAGTTCACATATAACTGGCGGACAACGGACAGGGTGTCGTTTGCATACATAAAAATTGGACACACGAAATATCGCCCACATTCAAACTGTGGACAAAAATTGTCCACAAAATTTAAAATTTTGAATTGCTAAAAAATTATTGCTCACAAGAATTTTATTTTTTGGCCACAAAAAGATTTGCCACAAAGTATTTGACCTCAAGTATATTGGACACTGACCTAAATTTTGTATTATTGGCCACACTATGAAAATTTTGCAATTTTCCGTATATCTATACAATTTACTATAATTTTGTGTTTTTTTTGTATAATTCTATTCGCAATTTGACGCTAGCCAATTCTGAGTCAAGTCACAAGCATAACTACTTCTGTCTTTTCAATGGTAATGCGGAGTAGTGTATTTCTGTCTCTTTCTCGCTGGCCTGCTCCGGTGGCAATGTGCACCGAAAAAACCAATTGGAAAACGCCCTATAGTAAAAGTTTAGGTAGTGAAGTGGAGTTAAAATTTCCCATACTTACAAATAAGCTGAGATAAAGTTGAACTCGTTTTTAAACCTATGAGCAGCAATATGAGATTAGCTGCGTGACATGAATATTATTAAAATGAATGGAACCACTGAATATTCAAGTGCTTTTTTTGAGGATTTATTTAGGTGTAAGACGATTTTCGGACAAACGGCTGCGAGCACGATCAAGAGGAGTAGGTTTAAAGGTAAACATGAAATTTTTTATTTAGTTAAAAACATCGTTATAAGAGTTGATATAATATTAGAACCATTTATATTCAAATGATTCAAATGATAAAAGGAGCAAATAAAGCAGATATTTTATTAATATTTCCAATGAGACATCATAAAATGTGTTATGCTTATTCGTTTTAAAAAGGATCCGTGTTAAATCCTGTACATTGAAAATCATGGAAAACATTTATATCAATTTGTTTTTAATGTAAAATTATGTTTTTACAAGTCTTTTTACAACAGAAATGTGTTTCTATAGCACCATAGACTATGTGAAATACGAGGAAAAGTGAAAAAGTTAAAGTACTAATACTTTTTAGCCAGTTTGACTTGACTGTGTAAGCCTGATGCCATGATGCGCTATTAATACATGGTATTTCTTAGAAATATTTAATATTAATGACTTCATTATTCTCTAAAATATTTCTAAGGGCCTATGAGATCAAACTGACCATACAGGGCTACATTATTACTAGCGTCATTCTTCGCTAGTTAACGCTCGCTCGGTTTAGATTGTTTCAAAACCTTTTTTGCATACTCACACACGACTATTCTGTGTGAGTAGTGTGTGAGTATGCAAAAATGGCTGGCAACTTGAGAAAATTAAAGCTCTTGCGAGGAAAGATGAATTGGAAGATCAGAGAACAGCAAATAAAAAAAAAATACATTTCTTCGTACATTTGAATCTTTGTTCTGCGATTCGAAGGACCAATTCCAAATCACTGAGACATTTTTGGCGCAAAGAAATAGATCAGCTTCTCTTGGGCGATGCAAAAAGTAATTTTCGAGAACATAGTACATTTTTCCAAATTTTAATATCATCTTTGTGTGTAGCGTGTGAATAGTGTGTGAGCATCCAGAAATGGCTGGCGAAATGAGAAAATTAAAGCTCTTGCGAGAAAATATAAATGGAAAAATCAGAGAACGGCCAATAAAAAAGAAATGAATTCTTTCGCGAATTTGACTGTTTCTTCTGCGATTGGAAGGACCATTTCCTAAAATCTAAAAAATTTTTCGCCCATAGAAATAGATCAGCTTCTCTTGGGTTACTTGGGCGATGCAAAAAGTAATTTTCGAGAACGTAGTACATTTTTTCCAAATTTTAATATCATCTATGTGTGGTGCGTGTATTGTCAGAGTATCTATCCACACAGCACGAAAAATTTTTAAAAAGATTTCAACGAAACATATTGATGAAAAGTTTTAGAAAAGAAGTTGAAACATTTCAAAATTATTGCAAAAAGTTATACTTAAAAGTAACAATGATAAATTGTTGCAAAGTTTACGAAGAGTTTCATATATATCAACAATAAATAAGGACATGAAATGTTTCTGAAAAGTTTCTAATACGTAACTTAAAATATTTCTTAGTTGACAACGGTGAATTGATTCTTCAAAATATTTCTGATGACTATTTGAAAAGTATCTGTGATAACTTTTTTCAAAAAAAAAATTTACGCTGTAAGTTTTTTGAAGAGTTTCTGACATTTGACGCAAAACATTTTTTAGTTGACAATGGTGCAATGATTCTTCGAAATACTTTTGACGACTATTTGAAAATTATCTGTGATAAATTTTTTCAACAAAAAAATTGTCACTGCAAAGTTTTTGAAAAGTTTCTGATACTTACCTTGAAATATTTCTCAGTCAACAAAAATGCAATTAATCTCTGGAAATTATCTGAAGACTATCTGAAAAATATCCATGATATCTTTATTCAAAATAGAAACTTTTCACTGTAAAGTTTTTGAAGAGTTTCTGATACTTAACTTGAAATGTTTTTTAGTCAACAAAAATGAAGATATGATTCCGAAAAAATGAGGGTTCGATGTATATTCGCAAGTTGACGTCACGCGTTGAGTAGTCAGTTACAAAAACACGGTGAGCCCGCGAGTTGAGGGTAAACAAGCCAACTAAAGCACCTGAAGTTAAAATGAGGATCGCGGTTTTTATACAACTCCCGCATTTTCATTATTGTATCATGCGTCGTGGTGCGGCGCAAAAGGTTTTGCCATTACAGCTAGGCGTCGAGATTTTTTGCAATCTTGCTGTCATGATACGTACGATTTTCTTTCTCTTATATTATGTAGGAACCAGTCTAGTGTATTTTAATAAGGACAATCTCGGCTGTTTTTATTCACAAATATTTTTTAAAATACGCTAGTCTGATGCCCAGAAATAAGAGAAAGAAAATTGTACATATCAAGACAGCAAGATCGCAAAAAAATTATCCTCGATTATGGGATCGAACTCAGACGCCTATGGCAAAACCTTTCGCGTTGCACCACAACGCATCATACAATAAATTTCATGCGGGAGTTTATTACCACCCCACTTTACCCGACTTTAACTTAAGGTGCTTTTCTACCCTCTACTCGCGGGCTTGACGTGTTCTTGTAACTGACTACCAAAAGCGAGACGTCAACTTGCGAATTATGAACGAGTTTTGATTGTAGCGAGCCGCGCAACGCTGAAAACTTACCACGATTAAAACAGTTCCGTAACAAAAAACAGCGAACACAGTAAAAGAAATTTGCTTGTATTTCATTGTAATTCGACGGAAAAAATAAATGAAAATATGGCTTCGATTGTATTTTTCATCAGCTTTTTCATGGTAGTATCAGATTTTCCGAAATATTCAATTTTCATAAGAAAAAATCAAAAATAAACGGAAAAGTTCACTTTTTTCGTACTGAATTTTTCGAAATATTTAGCTCGGCATATTTGGTGATCATTTTCTCGTTGAATATGCAATGTACCGAAAAATCTGAAATCACCAACGAACAGCTGAGAAAATTTTCTATCGAATGGAGTAGTCAGTCACTTTTTTTGAATGTGTTTTGATACTTTTTTAGCAACTTATGAATTGAGGAAATTTTCGTATTTACGCGAAAACATGACTTTTCGGGCCCTTAAACACAAAAGTCGCCAGAAAAAAATTACCTATCTTTGAATTTCATTTTCACGCATTTCTCAAACTTCCTAGGACCTTCAAAAACAATACCCAGGGTTCATAGTATGCGTCCAACAAAAAAAAATTTTTTCCGTTTTTAGTCAAAAAATTCGAAACTAAATTCCGGAATTGCTCATATACATCAAACCCTCATTTTTTCGGAATCATATTTTCATTTTTAAAGCCAAAAAAAAATTTCTAGTTAAGTATCAGAAACTCTTCAAAAACTTTACGATAAAAAGTTTTTATTTTGAAAAAAGATATCATGGATATTTTTCCAAGAGTCTTCAGATAATTTCCAGAGATAAATTGCATTTTTGTTGACTGAGAAATATTTCAAGATACGTATCAGAAACTTTTTTAAAAACTTTCAGTGTTAAATTTTTTCTTCATGTTTTGACCAGCAAATTATAGATCAAAACCAAAGTCTTCGTGGTCGAGGTGCTAAGGTAATCGACTGTCATACTGAAAGTTCCAGGATCGAGACTCAAGTCGAACAAATAATTATTATC